TTCCTATCACGAGAAATCTGCATGCCTAGTATTTGCTTTGCTGGCCCCATGTCCTTCATTGCAAAAGACTCACTCAGTTCCTTCTTCAACCTGTCAATTTTAGACATATCTTTCCCAAAAATAAGCATGTCATCAACATAAAGTAAGAGAATAATAAAATCCTCACCAAACCATTTGATGTACACACAATGATCTGAAGCCGTTCTTTTGTATCCATTTTCTGTCATAAATGAATCAAACTTTCTGTACCACTATCTTGGAGCTTGCTTTAGCCCATACAAGCTCTTCTTCAACTTGCAGACAAAATTATCTTTACCTTTGACTTTGAAGCCTTCTGGTTGCTCCATATAAATTTCCTCCTCCAAATCACCATGAAGGAAAGCTGTCTTCACATCTAACTACTCAACCTCCAAGTCCTGGCTAGCAGCAATACCAAGAGCAACACGAATAGAAGACATTTTAACAATAGGAGAAAATATATCTTCAAAGTCAATACCTTTCTTTTGACCAAAGCCTTTCACAACCAATCTAGCTTTGTACTTTGGTTGAGAACAATATTCTTGAGTCTTCAACCTAAAAACCCACTTGTTCTTCAAGGCCTTCATTCCATTTGGTAGCAGCACCAAATCATAAGTGTGGTTCTTCTGAAGAGCACCCATCTCTTCCTGCATAGCAACTAACCACTTCTCTTTCTGCTCACTCTCAACTGCTTCCTGGTAACTCTCTGGTTCACCTGCATCAGTAAGCATCGCATACTCATCTGTAGAGTATCTTCTGGAAGGTTGACGTTGTCTAGAAGATCTTCTCAACTGAGGTTCTGCGGGAACTTTCTCTCCTACTTCTTCTTGCTCAACATGTCCTGCAGGTAAATCAACATCAGGCTCTACACTATTTTCCTGCACATCTCCCCCATCACCCTGATATACTGGAAGAATAACTGGGTCACAATCTGCTAATCCTTCTGCATAAGTCTTGGCTGGTGCCTTCTTCTTCAAATCCTCAAAGATTTGATCCTCAAAGAAGACCACATCTCTGCTCCTGAACACCTTCTGCTTTTCTGGATCCCAAAGCCTGTAACCAAACTAATCATGTGAGTAACCAAGAAAAATACATTCTTTAGACTTACCATCCATCTTGGACCTCTCATTATCTGGAACATGTGCAAATGCACGACAACCAAACACTCTCAAATGCTTGTAGGAAACATCTTTTCCTGACCATACATTCTCTACAACATCACCATCTAGGGTTGTACATGGTGATAAGTTGATCACATCAACTGTAGTCCTCAAAGCCTCATCCCAAAACCTTTTGGGTAGCTTGGCTTGTGAAAGCATACATCTGATCTTTTCTATAATGGTGCAGTTCATCCTCTCTGCAATTGCATTATGCTGAGGTGTACCAGGAACTGTCATCTCATGTTGGATCCCATGTGACCTGCAATAATCATTAAACAATCCCGTATACTCACCACCATTATCTGATCTTATGCATTTCAATTTCCTTTCTGTCTCCCTTTCAACCCTGACATGAAACTCTTTGAAGACATTAATAACCTGATCTTTGGTCTTCAAAGCATAAGCCCAAACTTTCCTGGAAAAATCATCTATAAAAGTGACAAAATAAAGTGCACCACTTATACCAAGAACATCAACAGATCCACCAGGAGTTTTTGTCATCAAAGGACCACATACATCTGTATAAACACGGTCTAAGGCATGCATTTTTCTAGACAAAGCAGCACTAGCAAATGAAATTCTATGCAAGTTTCGAAGTATAAATATGTTAGAAGAGAGGGTTGTGTATATAAATATACATCAGCGCTTTTTATTTGATTGTCGGCGCAGTCCGATAGGGTTTTGCCGAGGTTCTTCCGTGGCGACGAGCAAGATCAAGGCGGCTTAAACACTCATGGAGAAAGCGTCTGCGCTGTTGTTTACCAGCCAAACAATCAATACAAGGGTTTAGATGTATACCTCTGAGATCTGGTAATACCTCTCTCTTGGAAAGAGCTTGCAGCCCCTTCTCGCTCATGTGTCCCAATCGCCTATGCCACAACTCCATACTGAAGTCTTTCTCTGTAGCATTTAATTGTTCACCATAAGCTTTAGCCTGCAACCTGTACAAAGTATGACATTTCTTTCCACTAGCTATAACAAGAGAACCCTTACTGAGCTTCCATTGCCCTCTGTGAAATATGTTTTCATACTCTTCATCATCTAGTCTTCCAACTGAAATTAAATTCAGCCTCAAGTCAACCACATGCCTCACATCCTTAAGTACCAACTTGCAGCCAAGGTTGGTCTTTAAATGGATATCACTCATGCCAATGATGTCTGCTGTGTCATAGTTGCTCATCTTGACAACACCAAAGTTTCCAGACCTGTATGTAGCAAAAAACTCTCTCCGAGGTGTAGCATGATAAGAAGCACCTGTGTCAATCACCCACTCAAGATCCTGACACACACAAGAAAAAATATCATCAGAATGAGACAAAATCAAATAATCACCACCCTGCACTGTAGCTGTAGTATTATCCTTTGACTCTGTAGACTTCACTTCTTTTCCCTTTTTCTTGTTCTTCTTAGGTTGCTAAATTGGTTCTTGTAATGTCCTTTCTCACCACAGTTATAGCAAACAATATCTTTTCTTGATCTTGACTTGCTCCTACCCATACGTGAACTGCTTTTAGACTTTGACCTTCCTCTGTTCTCTAAGATAAGTGCTTGTGAATCATTCTGAAATGTTGCTGAACTCTTTCTTCTCAACTCCTCATTCAACAAACTGCTTGTTATTTGACTCATAGTGACAATACCATCTGGCGCAGAATTACTAAGGGAAACCACTAGTGTCTCCCAACTTTCTGGTAATGAACTAAGAAGTAACAATGCCTGCAACTCATCATCAAGAGACATTTTCATAGAGGATAACTGGTTAGTAATACTCTGCATTTCATTCAAATGCTCAGCAATAGAAGCACCCTCTCTATATTTTAGGTTCACAAGTTTTCTGATCAAAAAAGCTTTGTTGCCAGTTGTTTTTCTTTCATAGAGACTTTCCAATTTTTTTCAAAGAGAATATGTAGAAATTTCAGTAGAAACATGGTGAAAGACATTATCATCAAGCCACTGTCTAATAAACCCAATTGTTTTTTATCTAACCTCTTCCACTCATCATCTGTCATAGTTGTAGGTTTTGTACTATCCCCTTACAAAGGTCCATACAAATCTTTGCAATACAAGAGATCTTCCATTCTTGGTTTCTATATCATCCAATTGTTTCCATTCAAACTAATCATGCGAGAAACATTACTGGCCTCCATGTTCAAATACAAAAATTAAATCACCAAAATCCCGCTCTGATACTAGTTGATGGGGATATAAAGAGGAATAACCTTTGTATATGAACAAATACTAGAAGACCATAATACGCAGCAGAATAAAATAGAAACACAATCAAATAGAACACCAAGATATACGTGGAAAACCCCTTCAATGTGAAGGGTAAAAACCACAGGGCAAACTAGAGATAATCCACTATGAGAATAATGAATATACAAATCTCAATCTCTTGCCCTAAACCCTAGCAACAACCACAAGAGAATAACTGGGATACAAGGATCACATCACTGCCCATAATATCTAAAACCTCCCCAAGTAATCACAGCAAGAGTCTACTGTAGATTTGATCTAACCTGAGATGATAACACTACTAGATGATTGAGAACTGTCTCTCTGCGTTGTCCTTGTCTTCTTCCCTTTCTTTCTCTTTGGAATCCCGTGGCCCTCAAGATCTGCCTCGTTGCTACCTTTTTATAGCCTTTTCTGCTTCTAAAAACGCAGCCACCACACCCCCTAATCTTAATTAGGGTTAGGTTAAGAGGGGGTGTGGGTTGCCCTAGCCCACATGGGCTGAATATGGGCTATCAGCCCAACACTTGGGTCCGAGGCGAGTCGCCACGTCCTCGCCAACTCCATATACATCAGCTACAACGCCCTTCGCTGGGACAGCGTCCCCTGCTCGAGCCGCGACGCCTCCTACTACAACTGCCGCCCCGGCGCCGAGGTGAACCCCTACGTCCGCAGCTGCTCCGCCATCACACGGTGTCGGAGCTGAACGGAGCTCTCTCTGACCTCGCTCTCCGTCTCCAACACAGAAAAATGACTAATTTTGTATCGTCTACATAAAATATTGTTTCTCGCGTGATTTGTGTTCAAAAAATAGAATGTAATAATATTATTATTATTATTTATGTAAAACCATTTTCTCTTTTTTCAAAAGAATATCTTTTATTATGATTTTATTATGTCAATAAATATATTAGTGTCGTAAGAAATTGAAGTTTTTCCTGGTTTGTGTAAGCAATTTTGCTATCATTGGCCATTTTCCTTGAAAAACCAAATCTACAATTTTATGGATCGATGCTCGGTTTGTATGTGCTTTCATGGTCTAAACCATGTTATTTGGGAATTAAACCAAATCTACAATTGCAAAATTCAAAGTTTTTAGTTTCTCCATGGAAATTTATTTATTTATTTCTTATGAATCCATTATTTGATTGTCCCTCTTTGGCACACCTCATCGAGCCAATCTACCCTCCCTCCAACTCAGGCAATCACGAGAGCGCCTCTTGTCGCGTTGATCTCAACATGATCATGATGAACTCGCCGCTGTATCTTTTTCTTCTTCGTCTTCTTCTTCTTCTTCTTCTTCTTCTTCTATTTGAGTTTTGCCTACCATCAATTATTGCATATATCAGGAAGAGCAGTCGATCAAGTGTCATCGATCTCACAAACAATTGAGTCTAACGAAGTAACGCATGTAAAAGAGGAGGTCGAGGACGGCATTGTAAAAATTCATCTACCTACAATTAAAGGAACATATGAAATGGTCGCAGAAGGGAAGAGCAGATACGTAGGATGGCAATTCCTTTGCATGAAGACAATGAGATGGTTTCCATGCTGCTGCCTGTCGCGCCTCCTCTTTTGCGCCGCTATGCTCTACAGAAATGGGTGCACTAGAAGATATCGAGGTATGGCTAATTGTATCCCGGATAGATGGGGGGCGGCGGCGATGAATAGCTCAATCCGCCGACTGGTGGAAGGACGTCGTTGTCGGTTGGAGGTGTTGGTGGTGGAGACGGAGGAGCTTGATGAGGAGATGAGATCGGTGGTGGTGGGGAGAAGCCTTTGGGTTGTGAAGGGGTTGGAGGTGGCGATGGGTGCACTTGTGGTGGAGTTGGCGGTGAGTGTGCTGGTGGTGGTGGTGGAGACGAGGTAATTGGAGGTGGTGGAGGCGATGCAACTGGTTGCGGTGGTGAGTGCACTAGTGGTGGCGGTGGTGAACGAACAGGTGGCGGTGATGAATGCGCTGGTGGTGTTGGTGAGTGCAATTGTGGTGGGGGAGGCGGAGCAGTTGGTGGCGGCGGTGAGTGCGCTGGTGGTGGCCGAGGCGATGCAGTTGGTGGCTGCGGTGAGCGCACTAGTGGTGGCGGAGGCGATGCAATTACTGGTGGTGGTGAGTGCACTAGTTGTGGCAGAGGCGAT